CCCCCGCCACACCCCTCCAGTTTCAAAACGCGAGACGATCGTTCCCGTAGCGAACTATTCGCAAATTAGATCGAACCGCGCGCGCGAAGAGAATCGACGAACCGGACGTCGTCGTTCGTCGCCTTCTGTTGGTGGGATATCGCATATGTAATGGCAAAATCGCTTTTCCGCCGAATAACGGCGAGGATCGGGCAGCGTATAAACCGATCCTCGTGCAAATTATTCGATTATAATCGCGGAATAATTTCCTGCGCAAAGAGGGCATTCGATCGCGCACGGAGAAAAAGGCTTCCTCAGATTTAGTATTTCTATTTGTTTGACGAAAATTTGTTTCATAGAAAACAACATACACGAAATATTATTTGAGTAGAAATTTCATCGTCTCACTCGAGAAAACTCGATTATTTAACAGAAAGAACGCTGGCGTTTGGAATAATATCTTTCAACCGAATAACATATTATTTGGTTACGATAAATATGTAAAATGAGACAAGTAATTTCTTCATAAGAAAATTATCTTTCGTTTCGGACAAATTTCTCATTTAAGATAAAGATACATATATCCGTGGAAAAGTCCAACAATCAATCTAACTTATTAATCAAAACGTTAGTTCCTTTGAAACACGCCAATAACGAAACTTGTTCGGATGCGATAAGATTTATTAAGTTTGAAGAAATCTCTTTCTCAGTGCACGAGCGGTGGGAGGTCTTCGGAAGATTTCGAGAGCTGGGGTGAGGAAAAATGACCGTGTACGGCCGAGAAAATAGGATCGCCTCGTCGGCTCGATGAATGGATCATCGCGCCCGGGCGCGGGCGAAGAGCGGATTAATTTATTGCACGGATATTTATTATATATTCGACTCATACTTTTTCCCCGTGCGCGTTCGCGCGCGGGGCAGATTAAATTTCACATTCGTCGTTCAACGCCGGCTGACCTTTCCGCACTTTAATGTGTGCTAAACATCGGACGCAAATAGCTATTCGCCAAAGTTAGGCCATACTAAAATCGAACGTCCGATAAACTCGTTTCTGGCAAGCTCGTGCCATCTGACGCAAGCTCTCGAAAGTCGATAAGCAAGCAGTCGCAGGGAACTTCGAAGTCTAGGAACGCTTCGAAATATCGATATTTTGCTCACCGACTATTCTTCCGTCCTCTCCCTCTCTCTCTCTTTCTCTAGCATCGGCACTGGTATCACGAGAATCGTCTGTTTTCTATTGCTGCACTGAAAAAAATATTAATTACTACTTGCTGGATAATAATGAACAATTAATACCCTTGACAAATCTTTCTGCTGTGCGAAGAAATTTTTCGCCGTCTAAACGAATTTTTCTCTGCTCTCACTGTATTGACAAACATTTGCTGTTCTGGCAGAATTTCTTTTCGTCCGTGAACGAGCAGAGGTGTCGATATCCCCTGAAATTGATACGTGTCTTAAGTTTCGCCCGCGCGTCCTCTTTTCCACTTCTCACACCTAAAGAGAGAGAACGAGAGAGAGAGAGAGAGAGGGAGATACTTCTTTAAAATTCATGTCGATACGCCTATATGACGGCAATTCGGAAATATCGAGCGTGACACGCTTTTGGGAAATATATTTGCATAGTTCGCCGGCGATCGGTTCCTATCGGCGCGTCGCGAGGGATAAAGATCGACGTTTTGTGAGCGTCGCGAGAATAAATCGTGTCAAATTAGCGGGGGAGATTTATTCACGGACGAAGGTGCACTCGCGCTCGTTAGACGCAGCATTGAAATAGACGGACGCGGATATATTTAGATGTAGGGCGCCGCGTATATCCATTCAGCATCGTCGCGAAGCACTCGACGAGTCAATTCAATAATTCGCCATTTCGGCCAGCCGACGATCGACTACGCGCGAAATTGCATTCCGGGGATTGTAATTAAGACCGCCGACTCATCGTCGGCCGCTTCTTTATTCGCCGAATCGATCGCCCGCAAATGTCCGGGATAGAATTTCACCTGAACTTACTCCCTGTATCTCAGGGGTGTTCCTTCCTCCCTCCATCCTTCCCTTCCTCTCTCTCTCTCACTCTCGGCGATTGAGGGAAAGCTGAACGATCGATTGCATTTGTTGGCGAATTTTGACTTTGATTTTTCTCTCACTAAGAATTCGCTGGTTAATTCTTTGAGCTGATTCGATGCTCGTTTGCAGCCGCAATGAAAAAAATCAAAAACGTCGAACAGAAACTTAACAAAAGTTACCCCGAGAAAGAGGAGAGCAGTTAAACCGAACAGTATTGACCCGGCTCTGCGGATTGCCTGCAGGTAATCGAGGCGTTCTATCTCGCTCTTCTCCCACCTCTCTCTCTCTCTCTCTCTCTCTCTCCCCAACGCGCGCTCACTCACCTGCGTCATGTTCCCCTCTCCGTTTTTTCACAATCCATGTATCTTCCGAAAGGATTTTGAACTACCGGGTTGCTCAATTTTTTTTCGAAAACTCAAAGCCTACTTTTACTCGCTGGACACAATTCTATTTTTTTTCGTTCTCTTTTTATCTCTCCCACTATGGAAAAAAAAAAGCGATCGATACGTTATTCAATAAAGCTACGCCTAACTATAAAAATATTGATTTTGTAAGTTCGTAAAAATCTGCACGAACTTCTCGAAAACGTTCCAACATTACACTCACGTATATATTTTTATGTGTACATATAGTTATGCATATATAGACGACACGGTTGAAATCGATAATGCGAAACATTACTCGCCCTTTTAACCAATCGAAACGATTAGAATGCGAGTCCTCCGCGAGTCCTCCGACGAGGCCATTGAAGGATCCTCGTTCATGTGACGCTCTTTTGCGTCTTTTTTTTCGTTACTTTTTTTTTTAATCAAATCTTCTCGGAACGTGTGTCCCGTGTAAAGGCGACGTCGATATCGGCGTATCTTGCCAGCGTCGGCCGCGTCACTGTCGACGCATAGCATGTCGTGCATATTCGACGGCCGCACTGGAATACTGGGGCAGAACGGATGTAGGGTCACCGACTCGGCCGCGAAGCGCGTCGCGGCGTACCGAGGGGCGTCGTTCCATAAACGGTTAACCCCGCGGAGGATTCCGAAGCTTTCTGTAACGCGCCGGCGATGGCCTATAATGCGCGCGATTATTAGCCGAGCGAGCCTCGCTCGAGCGAAGGAAACTTCTCGGCAATAATCGCTGTCATAGGCTCTCGAGAGACCATGGCCTCTTTCCCGATAGACCAGGCAAAGGTGATACAGGACGGCCTGAAACGAAGAATTCGGGAATTCTGTGACAGCGATATGCTGTGAACCTTGACTTGCACGTGTCTTCCGGATAGAGTCCCTCGGGTGAGAGTCTAAATGTCTCCGACTTCTTATTGATCGGTACAGATTGCTATTTGATCGAAAATTGCGGAACTGAAGACTGTCGAATAAAGGTACTCTATCTGACACAACTCGCTATTCTGAGATGAGAGATGAACACGGAAGAAACTAATTATTTAGAAATTGAAAAAAAAAATATATATATATTTTTTTCTTCAATTTTTTAAACATTAATTTTTTCCATATATATGTATGTATAGCATTATATATAACAAGATAAATCACACACGCACATACACGCACACATATATATCTTTAGAAAAATATGTCTGCATATAGGAAGGATGAAACTATCAATTAGTTGTTAAAAATTCCACAGGAGAAGACTGACAAAAAGTAAAAATAATTCATATGCACGATGATGTTTCTCAGGTTCAAAATTTAATGTATTAATAAGCGAAATCCATAATGCTTATTTTTCGGGATTTGTTGCTACAGCTGCCATATAAAATCTTTTAACACTTGTACAACCTGCTATACAACAGTCATTTTTACTAATTTTAATAACACTATACAAAATATTAATGGAGTTTTCTTTTAGGGGTTAACTCGATATATTAACCCGACACCCTTCATAGGTAGAACTTTTAATGACAAACCAGATGCCATTTCTCAAAAGATCACATATATCCGGATTCTTATTTGAGGAGCCCTATTCCGGAGAATGACGATTCAAGTCGAAATTTCGACCCTATGTTAAGTCTTTAATTCTATAACACAATAGGAGAGCAAAATATACTTAATACTTCAATTTCAATATAACACAACTTACTTGATTTAATTTACTTTGACCGTAATGATGTCTTGAATTTCTGAATTTCGTGAATAAATGTCAATATTATCAAAGCAGGTTTTCATTAATTTATAGTCCATCTAAGTAGGCGCAGGTTACTATTAAGAGCGTTAAAGTGACAGCCAAATTTCGACTCCGGGAGCGACGAGTCCCGCTGAATGTCCTGAGATGTTCTTCTTTAAATGAAACTCGACGCGAAGAAAGAATCCCTGAGAAGTAGTCACGAGACTATTCGTTTTGTCGTGCACGTATATCCTGGGTTTAACATTGTAAGCGGAAACTTCGGCTTTGAAGAGAAGGGGGACTCCTAATACATTGCCGACCTCGGGTAATCCCCCGCCTCACGGATCGTCGATCGGGCGCCAGCCTGATTTCAACGAAAATACCCGATCGGCTTCCCTTTTCAGATCTCAAGGTATCAACGTCCTAAATAATACCGAATCAGACGAGAGTCCCGCCGTGAAAGTGTGTTATCGCAGCCCGTAAAAGAGAACGAGGTCCGATGCTCAAGGCCCGATTCACAAGGCGGCGAGCGATGCGCTAAGGACGGAAGAAAGTAACGAAGGACGAGGGGAGAGGACGTTGGCGCGTGCTCGGCGCGATGTGTCCTTCGAAAGACACGTCCGATTCGGCCGCGTCGCTACGTGGCACATCGAACTACCGCGAAATCGAAGGCGAATGCATTATCTCATCAGCGGTACCGGCGCGTTCCAATTCCTGCTTAGCAGCCCTGCTTATGCCGCTATGACGAGAAAGAGAGAGAGAGAGCTTTCACGACACGACACGACACACCGGCACGACACGGATACACACGCGAGCGGCAGGCGAGTTAGAAAGAAAGGAAGCGAACGGCCGACCGACCGGCTGACCAACCACGGATACGCCTCTTCGGGGTGGTTGCCTACCATAAGTCGTGCAGGTCATGCACGACGGGTCAGAGGAGAGAGAGAAGTCAGTCATACCGACGCCGTGCTACCATTCGCGTCAGTGATTGGTCGAGGCTGCTCCGTCCGTCCGTCCCGAGGATACCCAAAGCCGATCTCGCTCTCGTGCTTAACACGTACACGTGCAAACGTACGCGCGCTAACCTGACGAAGGGCCGAGGGAGCTTTCGCGGGAGAGAGCTCGTGAATGGTGCGCTCTTATTATCTCCGGACAGGCTTCCGCGTCACGTGACGACGACGACGACGGGTGGGTAGAGAGAGAGAGAGAGAGAGAAATAGCGAGAGGAAGATAGAGTGGCTGGTTGGGATGAAAGAGAGAGAGAGAGAGAGAGAGGCTGTGTGTGAGGAAACGCGTGAGATGAATGAGTGGTTGGTACGGCTGTTTCACGTGTCCTCCTTTCTGACAATGTGGTGTCTTCAGGTAACATGAGCGAAGAATTCACGCGAAGCGAGAGGGAGAGAGAGAAGCTTCATTTCGCTGGATATCGTGCGCGAGAGTGATCAGTTAATAAAGTAACGGCCGGTTGAAAATATTTCGCGGTGCTTACCGTATCGTTCTCGAGTGCACAGGCGAGGAAGCACGTGAGCTGGCCGGGCGGAATTTACTTTTACCGCGCGGAAATTCGTTCGCTTCATTGAGCGGGTAATAGCACTCGAAGAGAGAGAGAGAGAGAGAGAGAGAGTGCCTAACATTCGAGAGGTTCTCCCGCCGATCGATTCGCCGTTGAATTTTCAGTCGGGCCAGAGAGAGAGTCGGGTTACATCAAAGACTCTCTTTGTGGAGAGCTCGCCCTCGTCTCTCTCTCTCTCTTTCTTTCTCTATCTCTCTCCGTCGCGGCACTTGGCCGAGAGTATTTTTTCCGCTCTCATCTCTCTTGTACCTCGAATAAGGAGAGCGGAGAGAGGAGGCGGGGGTGACTCTTAATTCGCAGCAGACCATAAACAAGCCCTGAAGAACGTCTCCGCGGGGTCAGCAAGAACTCGCAGAACTTAACGAAATCGAGTCGTCCTAGTTGCGCGCGAGTTGCCGAGAACAGTGTTATCCCTTCGGAGCGCTACCTTCTTCTCCCCCCCCTCCCCTCCCCCCGCGACCCGTAACGATCGAAGGTTGATTGGCGAGCTCTACTTACGCAGCACGTTTAACACGGGTGACTTTGTACCACTGACGACTACTTTATGTGGATCTACTTTTCCGTTTCTTTCGAACGGTAATATAGTGTAGAGCTTTGCTGTTTTTATCGCTTTAATTCAGAACGTCGCGTACGGCCGCAGCTCGCGCGTATTCATCTCTCTCTCTCTCTCTCTCTCTCTCTCTTTGTCCCTGTCTCTCGCGTTTCTCCCCGGAATCTTTGCCGAAGGCGGTCGACCTTCGTAAAATCGTTTTCCCGGGAATCCTTTTAATTTTTAACCGCGTATTGATGAAAATTAATAACGTCCATGTGTTGGTAATGATGACAAACGATCGGGACGTTCGGAGGTATTCGCGAATATGTCCGTCCGTAATTTCGCCCCCTCACACACGTGAAATTGACATTTATTACTTAGTTAAGTAAAGTTACGGGAAACTAGTTTTTCTTCTTTCAACAAACGGTAAATTCGTGCCCCTTAATATCGCCCGCTGAAAATCCGACACCACAGGCGAACTCATCGGGCGAAATCTAACGGCCGATACAAGCATCGTGTCTTCCCTCTTTTCGTAGTTGATTAGATCTACTTTGCAAATTGCCGACACATTTTCGCGCAATTCGTATCTGTGTCACCGGTCATCACCGTGTTCCTTCCAGCTTCATGCCGAGATGTTAGTCGGTTCGCATTAGGGCGGTTCTCCTCGCAGAATTCTATTATTAGATTACAGCTAACTTCCATCGATTGTTTAACATTTTTTCATGCCACTGCATCTTTAATAGATCCTTAGCTTCGGATTAACCTCATTTGGTTGCCTTTGAACCCAAAGGTCTATTAAAGTCATTTTTTCATCGTTGAATCGTCGGCCACACGTAATATCCATGCCGAAGGACTATCTCTCTCTCTCTCTCTCTCTCTCGCTAATCGTTAAAAATGGCGCGCCCGCGAAATTACGGAATTACGGGTTCTCCTCGCAACAACTTCGTTTTATCCCTGAACGCCTTTCGTGCGAGACGGCGCGCGACTGCACGGAACCGTCGCGTCCGTCTTCAAATCGGGGTTAGCATGCCAGGTGAGCCTCGTTTTCTGGTATTGACCAGGTAGTTGTGGCGCCTTGCGGTGCCCTGTAGCACTGCCATCTTCCAACTGTTGGCGGAAGCATGTTGGTGATCACATTTTTTCCCCCCCTCTCTCTTCGCACTGGAACAGAAGGTGAAAACGCGATACATCTCCTACTCTATACGTTATTAAGCTTGGAAAAGTATCATCCTGTATGGGGGGGTTAGCAGGCGGGAAGTCGTCGGAATGTCTGGCCGGTGAGCGGCTTTGGCGAAAAAGCGGGAAAAACGGAAGACGCGACCTTCCGACGGCCGGGAGATTGAATGGCGAACGCGCGAGGGTCTGGCGCGATCGCGGTGAGTCGCGTCGCATTCATCTCTTCCGTGTGACCAAATACAGCGGTTAGAGGGAAACTCGGGCGGAGTGGATTGGCCGATCGCCAACCCGATCAACGGACTGCATTCCCTAGCCACGTGCTGCGCTCGCGTGGAGAGCAGCCGTCTCGCCAACTACAGGCTATTTCGTTTTACTACCGGAGGCCTCCTCATACTCGACTCATCTCGCCAACTGAACGTTTTTCATCATTGCCCTTCTCCCCTCCCCTCCCCACGTGTAACAATCGGTCGGCGTTGTGCTGCCACCCAGCGGTCCCCGTCCGGACTCGAACGTTTTGAGGATGATGCCAGAGGGTGGACGGTGGCTGATAGCCGTTATCAGTCGGCATCTCCGCGCGATCGCGATAGACGATTGATTCACGCATCGTCTCTTCTCTCTCTCTCTCTCCCTCAGTCGGAAACATTCCGTAATACGTCCTGCGGAAACTTCCCGAGAGCTTGTTGTTCGGCCGTTCGTTGCTCCGACAAAACTCGAGCGCATCGATCAGGCCGCTCGGAGTTGCTCCTCTTCACTTTAGGTCTTACAAAATCCCACCCTTTGCAGTTCCCGCTGAGACGTTGGGACGAGTAAAACGTAGCGGGGTTGTTTTCTATTTATTTCTTTCCTTTTTCTTACCTGAGCAGTTACCTTCGACTTAGGTCCGCGTTTAGAACGAAACGCGAGTAATCTCCAATTTGAGAACTCGGAGAACGTGACGACAGTTACGCGTGTAGGCTCGTCGTTGATTATATATTGCCCTGAGTGAGTATGAGAGGGAGGAAGAGAATGGGTGTGTGTGTGTGTGAGAGAGAGAGGGGGTGAGAATGAGAGGAAAAATAGGGGACGAATCGAGCGGTGCGTGCTGGATTAAGTGTTATCATTCCGATCGGTGTGTCGGTCTGCTCACCTCCCCCCGACTAATCCGGGTTATCCTACTGCCCCTGTTCCACTCTCCTCCACCGTCTCTCACCCCCCGTCTCTCACCCTGACCAGCCCGTCGCGCTTGTCGCGCTCCGCTGGCGTCTCGTGGTCTGCGGTGCTGCCACCAATCGTTTTCTTCGAAAATCAGAAACATGGCGCGCGGGCGCGAAGCGGGGTGGGTTGCGGTGGCAAGTTGGAACCGGGGACAACAACGTGTTCGCGTTTAACGGATCGCCGCCGTCCGTGAACGGACTTCCTGGGCTCGTCGACGAACGACTAACCCGCTGAACTTGTTTACCAAGGATCAGGTGAGCTCGCGATCGCGAAGTCGGTCAGTCAGTCGGGATACCTCCCCTTGCGTTTCGATCGAGCAGCAGAACTGGCGCGTGTGTCTCGTCATCCTCCGGTCGGCCGATCCAACGGTCCCCGTTTACGCCCGGTGCGCTGGGAGTCGTCGTCGCCACCACCCTTTCCCAATTCCGCGCATCGTTACACCTAATATCTGATCGCGCGTGCCGCGGTGCTGCCATCGCGCGGCGGAAGTAAGGGCAGATCAACACGGTGGGGGGTTGGGGAGGGCCGTCGCATCACGTCGCGGGTGAGTCGGCGTGATCGTGTCGACGGAAGTAGGATCTCGCGGCGCGTCCCAGCATCTCTCGACACCGTCGTCGTCGTCGTCGCACGTTGTCGTCCACCTCCCTTCCCTTCGCGGTCTCCCGCGTTCCTTCTCCTCGCCCCCCTCTCCCTCCTTGTGGGTGCGCGTCTCTCAAGCCCTCCCGGAGCGATCGGATGAGTGCGAGTCGGAGTGAAAGGGACGGACGGATCGGTGTGCATGAAGCTGGGCAAGCCGGCGTGCCGGGTTCCACCCCGGCTGCGCGGCGCGTCCATGCTGGGCCCTTCGTCAGAATCGGCGCGTTCGCAGAGCCGCTCGGTGAGGCAGCAGCAGCGGGCCAGTGAGATCGCGACGAGGAGAGCGGCGGGAGCGATCGGTCGGCCGAACCGCCGAGGGACAGGGTGCGCGGGGTCATCGGCAGCCACGGAGGTCGGAGAGGTGGAGTCATCGGCCGGCGAGATCATCGCGGGTTTGAATGGGTGGGCCGGGCGCCGGTAGGGTTACCAGGCACGAGCTGAACGCGGTGCCCCAGAGCCACGTCGGTCACGGGGAACGTGTTCTCGTCGAGCAGCCAGCATCAGCAGGCTGCCGCTGTCACGCACCGGGACGAGCATCCGGCAGTGCCGACCGACCGTCCGCCCAGCAGTTGCCACCGTCGCCGCCGCCGCTCACCTCCCTGCACATCGGCAACACCAACGACGGCGGCACCGTCTGCGCCGTTCTCACCGGCAACACCACCACCAACGTCAACGATAACAACAACAACACCGACGGCAAGGTTAAAAAGGCGGTCGCCATGTCCTCGCCGCCGAAACATCGCCGGGGCTTCGACCCCAACGACCCGGCCGAGTATCACCGCTATCGTCGCGTTAAGACGAAGCAGCGGTGAGTGCATTCACCTATGATCTATATATATATATGTATATATACATATGTATATATATATATATATATTCACATATATTTCAATTGTTTCTTCTTTGATACATTGGAAAGCTCTCATTGATAATCGGCTGATATATCGCGCCTATGATCCATGTTCCCTTCTCAGGTTTTCTGTTTTTGTGTATACGTTCCCTCGTCCTCCCGATCGTCCGCTCGGTTCGTAGACGAAGCTTAGTCCTCGGACGTTATCCTCCGCCTCGCGTCCACGTGTACGCGAGTCGGTCTTTCAAATTGTTTGTCACCTTTCGGAGATACACGCGCCACGTGCATTTCTCCCTCGCGAGTCTTAAGGGTCGAAGTTTGACTCGCAGTTCGGAGTGTAATTCATGTAATTGGGTTAAGTCAGGCACGGTGGTGTTCCACTTGGTGACTGATCTCTCGCGACGAGCATCGGCTCGATTGGGAAAACTGTTCGACAGTCGAAACAGTCGAGCCGATGTCCTTCCTCCCCTTTCTTTTTCACTTCCTTTTGCGCGATCCATCGTCGGTACTCGTCGCCGGTTAACCCGCGAAATTTATTCCCGGATTCACCGGACTGTCAGCGGGAAATACAATGAGGCACGCTTACCATGACTCACGTGCTTCCGTCGATTCTACATTATCTTTTTATCGATCGATGTCCGTGTTTATTGTCACATGTACGTTCGCGTCTCTTTCCCTTCTGCTTTCGATCGCTCGGCGAAATTAAATGTGTAACCAGTATATTACGAGCGACACGCCCGTTACTCGCGGAGAACTCGCGAAGAAACGATGGATCGCGGTGAAGCATGATGATCAACCACGAAAAACCTGAATTCTGTTTCCTTTCTCTCTCTCTCTCTCTCTTTCGCCAACTCCCACTTCCTTCAGCTCCGCGCCCTTGTCTCCCCCCCTCTCCCTTTTTTTGTCGGCGTTTTCATCGCCCTTGTCACGCAGCTTCCACTGATGCTGAATGCACAATGTTCACAGAGGCTTTGTATATCCCACATCGTGTGACCTTCGGCGCCGGACACAGACCTCCCCGAGATCCCCCGACATATCCACCAGCACAAGGCATTATAAAACACACACAAGCTTGCGATGTTCGATGTTGGATCGCTTACTGGTTGTATCCCCACCGCTGCAATGCGACGAAAGTACGAGTCACGTGATAATAAAAAAGATTGTTCATCATTTGTCCCGAATATATAAGGATATGCAAATATATCAATCTAGCGTTTCCTTCCCGAAGCACCTTGCGGCATCAGCATGACAGTGTTAAAATTAAGGTATATGGACCGATAGATCCAACGTGGTGTGGGATCTCTGTGGTGCGAATATATCGTATATATAAAATGGTCGGACCAAGTTATGTACAATATAAATATAGTGTGACTCTCTCACACACACACACACAATACATACATACCTACATACATATATATATGAACAGAAAAAGTAACAGAGTTCGCATATAAAATATAAGAATATACGTAACGTACGAAACACAATAAGATTGTCTAACGAAATTATAGGGATAGCTGATTTATATCATGTCCCTTCGTCCACATCCTTGGCCGATCTGGAAGAAGGAGAGATAAATCAGGTGTACCCTGCACGGATAAAGAATCAAGAATGAAATTATCCCAAGCGGTCAAAATTCTGTGTAAAATCACTGCCCGTGTCTTAATCGAAGCTTGGAATGCGCTGCCACGCCGTGGAATGGAGAGGCTTGCACTTGGGCGAAAAAGCAAAGAGTCCAAAAAGCTTTCATTACATTGCCGGGCTACTATCTCGATGTCACGGCGCGTGACCCTGCGTTTTTCGCTGCGAACAGCTCCGTGGAATGCTTTGTTGTTGGTGTGTCGACTCCGAGAAAGATTTTGGCTTCTGCTTGGAAGATGTACGAGGAAGCACATGGAAAAAAAAATGGAATGAGCGCCTTCACCAACTCCCACCGCTCTGTCTTTATTGTTTTTCTTTCTTTTTCCTTCACATTGCTCGTGTCGCGAAAGCATCCCGCCTCCCTTTAGCGAGTTTTGTGTGCCGGATCGCTCGCCAGCGTGCTCGAGACGCCGACGATTCGTTCGTTTATTAATCGAAGGGCCGAAGCATGTCGAGGAGTAACGCGACGTATTCCTGCAATCATATTCCGACGTTGCGAATTAGAGTCGGAATGTCCATGGAAACGACAAGCACCCTAATTTCTTCTTCGGTCTCGTCCCTTCGATTAGTACGATTTTGTCGGCTCGAAGGAGTCAGAAGAGGAATAGCGCGTTGTTCTTCCCGAAGATGCATTCGCATACCGTTTTGTGCACTGCGAGGAACGCGCATGCATGCGATCCTGCCGGCGGTTTGCACGTGAGTTGTGACAGGATGTTATAATATATATTAATACGAAGATTGTTTATAAGTTATTTCATTTGCGTGAACTCACGGAGATTACGTACGTTTTGTGATCTCAGGATAATTATACCGCTCTCGTTAACGTTGACGAGATGTTAACGAATACTATGATAAGACCGTTAGGAGGACGTGCAAGGCAGTACGAAGGTCTTGATTACCACGACGATCCATTTGTCGACCTTCAAATCAACCTGTCAATTCGCAAGAAAGTTCGTCGATTGACGAAGCTTGCTGCGCACAAACATACGCGGCTTCAATATATATTACTGCGCACAGTTTATTAATTCATTCATTGGCTAATAAAGTATATCTCTATATGAGAGAGAATGAAAGATAGATAGATAGATAAAAGGGGCAAGGGAGAGAGAGAGAAAGAGAGAGCGAATCCTTTTGCAAAAAAAAAAAAATAGTCGAATTGCGCGATCGATGAAGCATTCTTAACCGGCTAGACTTAGATAATTAGAAGTTCACACTGATCGATACATGTAATGAAGGATTCTTATTAGACAAAATATTCTTGAGCTTCGCCTGCGTTACGCTGACTTACACCGGCATGGTTAAAAGCTGAAGGAGGAGCTTTTTATCCTCTGAAAAGTTTACGTAGTTATATCAAACCGTTTCTCGTTTCCCCTTTTAAATACTACGAGTGCTACGTCGCACGTGTCTCTTCTTCGGAAACGTCGGTGGCAATTTATTACACGTTTCCCCGTCTTCATAATCGCGCGTCGGCACGAGCGCCGACGAGGAAACGAAGTGTCACAATGGAAGGCGAGATTTGCAACTCGTGTCTTGCGAGTTTAATGCGAAACTGAGATGAAAGCGGATAAGTGGAACGATATATACGTATGTACGACTCCGTTATTTTCGAGTCGCGTAGTTTTTCCGACGTCGCTCTTCTTCCCTTCTTTTCTCTCTCCCTCTCTCTCTCTTTCTCTCTTTTACTCTACAAGATTGCTAAAGTCCACGGAGCTACTGAAATTTACGTAACGGCGCGAAATCAATGGATGAAGTCCGACCCAATACTGCAGCTATCACTTGACGCTCGAACCTGGCGCGATGTTGAAATACTCGTTGTTAATATTTACGGTTTTTATTTATTCATAGGCATCCGAGCAAATGTATAGGTAGCAAACGGCAGAGTGACAGTGTAGCGGCAGCGGTAAAACGTGGTCTACAATGGGCAGTAGAAGTATGGAGGAAGAGTAAGAAGTTAACCAATCATAGTCGATTATTCTCTTTACATTCGAATATGATCGGTCAATTTCCTATTTACTTCTTATGAATACGCTCCCACCGCTCATCGACTATGCTCAACGGCGTAATAGCAACGTTACAGTTACTCGAACAGCGAAAACACGGAAAGGTTTTCGCTTCTCTCTTTCTCTCCCATTTCCCCCTCGTCTTTTTCTTTCTCTCACATATCGCGCATTCCGCATCTATCCATTCGCCTTTACCGCGCCATCCTTCAACCGGCTGTGTTCGTTTTATCCGTCACGTCGCGATTACCTCGCCGAGCAAATTTTATCTCTCGTCCCTTTTAATTGCGTCTCGCGAATCGATTCCTCCACTTCGTTCCTCCTCCTTTTTCGTTGTCCCGCTTTTTTGCCGGCGTTCCTAGTCTCACCTGCGACGTCGGTGAATTAAATCTCGCGTCTCGATTCAAATTCCTCTCTCCTTCTCTCCCTCGAACCCTTTCCCGGTGAAAGAAACGCGGTCGTTTATCACGCGATTATATCATCGCGGCTCGTGGGTTTTATTTCGTCGTCTACGGTTTTGCATACGTTGTTAGGTTTTTATTACCGTTACATTTCCTCTCTCGTCGATAATAAAGATCGCGTGATAATGTTCAGATAACACGTGTTCTTACCTAAGATGAAGATGACTATATATTTTGGATTACTTCCATCTACATAAGGATAAAGATGATCTATTTGTTCATCCGGATGATTATTACGATAGTTTTATTTAGACACCAGCACACACTGGACGTGTGATATTGCAATACGCACTTCGTGACATTGGCGATATAATCATTTACAAGCGTGAGGATTTACGGATCGGAATGATATTAACGATCAATCGCTCGATGCTTGGGTAATATCGGATTTATACGATTTGCCGAGAAGCTTTGATGCTTCCGAACGAACGTCGGTGCGACGTTCTGCAACATAATCGGCAAATAACGTTGCTGTACAAAATACCGAAACGCCGCTGTGACATTATTGGCTATAAATAATTAATTGCCAAAGCTATTAATATATTGCCGTACTGTACGTGTGTGTGTACGTGTATGCGCTTTATACACGACGGGAAATTAAATGGTTAAGCGCGGACGTAACGATCCCCGCTATTTATACAGCAGAAATGACAAAAGAGTTGAAAATTGGTAATAATGACAATGCGCGCGCGGAGTTAACCGGGATCAGCTTCTTTCCGGGGGTGATTCAGGGCGAGGAATTAATTACGGGCTGATTTAACGCGATAAAAACATTAGAGCCCTCCGCGAGACAGCCGTGTGCGATTGTTTGACGACGCCTCCCGCCGTTTACATGTAGCTTACTCGACATGCGCGCGTATGTGTGTGTGTGTACGCGCGCGTCTCTGAGGCATTCTTGTGTGCAAACACCTACGTTCTATACGCGGACAATTTGTATCTCTTCTCACGCGGCATCCTCGAGCATTTGGAAGCCCTTTAAGCGCTTGTATCTTATAAACTACACCGATATACAACCGAAAGACGTGCGCGGGTTCGACGGTAATGGCTTTCAAGTCTCAGAGCTTTCGCACGGCTCAAAAGCTGTTTGTGACAGACACGTCGACCGTAAAGAAGGTCGCGAGTGCGGAACGATAATCGAAAATTTGCTAATGCATCGCGCAATTCGTTAATGCATCGATGCGTCGACGAAATTGACGTCGCTCTGTGTCGTGAAACGCGACGAAAGAAAATATCCGAATTCGCATTTAACGAGAACGCGTTGTGTCTCGTAAACGAAAGAGATTTCCCGCGCGCGTTTTCCCGTCTTTGAGTGCGAAAAATCATATAAATTTATAATTCTTCGTAAAGAAAGAAAGAGGGAGGGGGAAGGGAGAGACGGAGTCTGACAAAATCAATTTGCCGAAATATTTATAGACGGCGTGAATAGAAACGTGATATCCGCCACTCGATATCATTCTCTCTCTCTCTGAAATGGCTTGAAGTGACCGTTATATAACCGCGATCTCTCTTTCGCCGTCCGATTTCTGAAGGGAGGAGACGCTCCGTTTGTTAATACTCTCTGACGAGTACAGACGCGGCTCGCTCGCTATTCGTGTCGACTGTTGAGCCATTGAAAGTACGAATTAATTACACTCGGCGCAATATGTCTGCAAGGAGTCTCGAATTTATCGGCTATCGCACCTCGTCGGTCGAGACAACACACACCGTGATCGACTCTCGGATAATTAATAATATTATATTTATGCCACGATGCGAAGTAATCGTCGACGATACCCACACATTGGGAAAAAAACATTTGAAATTTGCAACTGTAATCATCACGAAGAATAACAGTCGGGAGAAAAATTTTTTTCTGTCAAATGTTGTTACAGTGTCAATGATGATAACCTCACAAGCATATTTCTATTACTATTTTTATAAACCATGAAAACCATGAAAACATTTTTATAATAAAACCACGAGGTATATTGTAATTTTTCTCAGTGCACCGTCTGTCTCTCTCTCTCTCTCTCTCTCTTTCGTTGTCATTCCGAGATTCTTCGCTCGCTGAATCTGGCGTCACGGTTTGTCTCTGAGGGAAATTTTCCGTTAATCGCGAAATCCGCGAGAGACACTATTCACGCGAGAAATCTGATTGTGTGTGGAGAAATGGTCATTCTAATTTTACCCGCCGTGTCGATACGTTACTGATGTAGTCGCGACCATGACGGTCTTCCCTCAGGTTGACCGGAGCGATTAGCACCGTCTCTCGCGTCACAATCAATTAGTCGTTCTTGACGTGTCGAGGATGTCGCGGGCTTGAGTCTGCCCGACGGCCGGGCGAAAAGGCTGCGGAAACGCGAGACGATCCGTTATATAATGTAACATTTGAGTAACTCTTGTTACAAGAGTTTCGGTACTTCATGCGCGAAATTGACTCTTCGAGTTCGCGGGTGAGACGATATTCCGTACGGGAGGATGATTTTGAAGTGTGTAAACGATTCTTCCGCTGGCGAATCCCTCGGCGACAGGATCGGAGGGTGCGCTGAAAAAAGGATTTGGTAATAACTGTTAAAATTTGGCGGATATTTGCGACCGACCGAATATTTGATTACTGCAACTAAATAATGTAGTTCCGTATATTAAATATATAATATATCGGATTATGGTACTGTATATACAGTATGTGGCACTGAATCATTTAGTTGCGACGATCGAATGTTTGGTCTGCGAATATCCACCAAATTTTAATGCTCATTGCCAAATCCTTTCTTCAGTGTGGGATGACGATGTGTCATCATATTTCCGTCCCGGGGATATTTCGCTTGTTGTCAAATCGGTCAAATCGTGTCGTCAATATGAGGTGATGATTCAGGACGATTCAATTGATCGTCACGAAAGCAATCTGAGGTAGAACGGTCGGCGGATAAGCCGATTCGTAGAAGATCCGCGTTATGGTGTACCACGCGCTGCACGCGCTGCAGTTGCGCATGGATCCGCTCGCCGAATTGAATCAGAGGTCAGTGATCATTTCATATATTTTCATTGATAAGTTCGCGTTGATTCGGGGCTTGGCGGTCGACAGTTATTTCGTAACATTTTTCTAGGCATTGCGATTTTTCCGTCGCAAATATGTAGAATGAAACGTCTCTCCGAGGTCTCGCTTGTTGGAAGTGTCGACAATTTGGGGACTACTCTACGATTATATAATATTTATCAATTATACAGTAAATTGAACGTTCACCGCTCGGTATCCTAGTCGATTGAGTCGCGCGAGCTTCTCAGCGGCTTCTTCGGCGTTTTCGCCCCCGAGCTGGTAACGCAGTTCCACTCGGACGATAAGGAAGGTAGTCGCGAGCTTGAAAATTTCCTAAGCCTGCGACGCGAATATTTAGTCTCGAAAGCTCTCCGTGGGATGGCGTACCGCGACGTTTCTGTTTATTCTTTGGTATTATTATTGCGGCCACTTCTCGCGCTAAGGATCGTGAGCTTCCTTCCGAAAGGACTCCGAGAGGATTTTCGTCTCTGCGGATATTTTATCGGGTTCCTCACATTTTTACGTTCTGACGCGACACGACCTGACGTTCGCACGCGGTCGTATCAATATTGAAGGCGTAATCAATATCAAGGACGAAGAGAAATATGTTCGATAGCGGCGAAATATCGATATTTGAATATTCGGGACGACGGTAGGATGTGAGATGCACATGAGAACCTCGCGAGATCCCCATCACTCGAATAAGCTTACGGTATTCGCCCGGTGCGAATTGGGAATTGCTTCCTCGGGTCTCGGGGAATCGTCAAGTTTTGACGCTTAAAATTAGGGAAGCCCAAGTGGCAATAGCTGTTAAAGCTCTACATCCCGTCATAATTAATTGTCGTTTGCAAGCTGATGGAATGTAGCTTCTAGTTAAGATCTTTCTCCTTTCCACCCACTTCCTCAC